GACCGACCGACCGACCGACCCAGGGAACAGGAACTGAAAAAACCGCTTCGTCTTCTATTTACAGAGGAGCTTCGCTGGAACCGGACAGGGCAGGAGAAGGGCCAAGGAAGCGGCAGGCTCTGCTCAGCCGTCCTTCCCCAGCGTCAGCAGCCCGCGGTGGACGCGGGACCTTCCGATCGCCGCGCGTCCCCAGAAGGGGAAGGCGGGCCGGAGTCAAGCCCACAAGCAGGAGCGGGGTTAAGGCAAGGGCCCGGCGTGGCCTAGCCGGAATCTGCCGATTTCGATAAGCGCTGGGGCCGTCACCACCCCCGATGCCCAGCGCCTCGTCTTCTGCCCCCGAGGCTCAAAGGGGCCCCCAATCCAGAGCAGGCCCCCTGCTCTGTCCAGTCTTTTCCCTCTCCAGGAGCCGTGCCCCCTCCTGTGCTAGGGCTCCCCGCCTCCCCGGGACGCGAGGGCAGCAGTTGCACTGAGGGCCGTGGGGGGCGGTGGGGCCAGCGGCGGCTGCTTCCGAGAACTCTCTTTGCACTTCTGGCAGAAGAAGATGTCAGGAACGTTGGTCTTCTTGATCTTGGCGCAGGAGAGGTGGATCCAGGTGCCGCACTGGTTGCACTCGATCATGGGCCGCCCCGCGAAGGGCTTCTGGCAATAGCACGTGATGAGGTCCCATGAGTCATCCCCTGGAAAGGCAGGCAGAGAGGGCGTGTTCAGAAAGGCCCCCGAAACAGCACAGAGACAGGCGTGGACATTGCTCCCGAAAATCGCCAGCAGGAGATGAATTTTCCACCTTGGCTTTAGGTCAGTGTTTCTCAAGCGTGGCAGCTTGAAGACGTGTGGACTTCAACTCCCAGCAAGGCTGGCTGGGGAATTCTGGGAGTTGAAGTCCACACGTCTTCAAGTGGCCAAGTTTGAGAAACACTGCTTTAGGTTCTTAGTTTTAAGACTCTCTCAAAGCTTCAAAACAAAAACGTGCTGAAGATGCAAAGAAGAGGGTTGGGGAGATGGACCAATTTTCTAACCACTACAGTCCCAGATTTAACACATTATTTTTCTTGTTTTACTAAGGGTACAAAAAAAATACACAACTTAATTTGGCTACACAGTTTTGAGTACTTTGAAGGACCAGGCTGGGGATATTCAGGTTGCTAAGAGCTGACATTCACTTGATGGCACATAATCAAATCAAATCTCCACGTTTCTCCCACCAATCTGATGTTAGTACGGAAAGTGGCTGGGACCTCAGGAGGAGGATTTCAGGACGAAATCCAAAAAGGTCTAGAATATCCAAGGATTTGGCAACAGGATCTCGAATGAGCACACTCGCATGGAGGAAACTGAGCTGAATATGAAGCAGGCCGTGCTCCTCTGCAGTCTCTTCACATCCCCCGCAGGGACAAATAAGAGAATTTGGGGGGATTATCCAATCTGGTGTCCCATCTCATGTCCCGCAGGAGGCTGAGGCTAACTCATCCTGGCTTCCATGAACCTAGGACCGAGCCAGTCAGGCAGCTCCATCTGTTGCTTAGCAAGTATAAAACTAAACACACAGAAACTAACGCCGGCCGCTGTATTTCCCCTTCCCATTCTCGCTCCAGAGGTTAGTAATCGGACCCGTAAAATTATCGACTGTTAAATGCAAGAGATGTCAGGAGGTGGTTTTCAATGGATGCCAAATAAAGATCATCGGGAACGCAACCACTTAGCCCAGCTCCAACCCTAACCCTCCTCTCACCTGACTCCACCATGATGTCCTCGTCCATGACCCTCATCTCGCCTTCGCTAGAGCTCCCTTCCCCGTCCTGGCTGGTCTCCGTGCTGACGCCTTCCTTGCCTTCTGCGTCCTCCAGCTTAATGGGGAACGTGGCGGCCAGCAGCTCTGGCGGAGCCTGGACCGGGACCCGGGCCATGGCCGCCCCCTCCTCCCCGCCCGGCCGCAGAGGGGCCGCCCCATCCTCCTCCTCCGAGTCCGTCTCGCTCACAGAAGCTTTGTGCTTCTTCTCGCAGCGCTCGGCCCTTTTCAACTTCCGCTTCTTGCTCTCTTTGATCCGCGAGCGCTTCTCCCCCACCGGGTCGCCCCGGTTCCGCTTGGCGCCCCCAGCTTCCGAGGCAGCCTTCCGGTTCCGCTTGTCCTTCTTCTTATCCGAGGCCACTTTGGGCCCCGCCAGGGGTGGCGGCTGCCTGCTGACGGGATCTAGGTCGAAAAGGGAGTCCTTGAGTTTCATTTTCTCCAGCAGCGAGCTGTCCGACTTGAGGCGCCGGAACGCGGCTTTCTTCTTGGATGACTTGGCCTTCTTCACGAAGGTCTCGATGGTGTGCAGGTCCGACTGCGTGGACTCCCAGCCGTCGCTGTCCACCACGCTCTCGGGGCGGATGGGGGAGTTGGAGCCGGAGGGCGTCCAGTCATTTTCCTGGTGGGAAGAGAAGGCAGACGCGCACGACTGTTCTGCGGCCGCCCCAGAGAAGAACCTGACGTCCGAGGTTCGTTCTCTGAAGGAGTCGGTCTGCAGCTCCCGAACCGCCTAACGTGTCTGGGGAACCCCACAAGGCCTTCAGGTTTGCTGGAGGGGCAGGCGTCCTTTAGCTTCTCTCACCCCAGAACACAGACTGTTCCTACCCCATTGGCGAAGTTCTGCTTCCACACTCCAAACGTTTTCTATTTAAGCTAGAAACTTGTGAGAGGTGCAAGGGAGAACTGAGAGACCCAGAACTTGGAAATACGCTACTGTGTGGCTCACCAGGTTGTTTGTGCATCTCATCCTCCTTTCTTTGCAAAGCTTTTAAGGCCCTTATTTGGTTTCATGTGTACAGTTACAGAAAAAAAGTGTTCCTGCTGGGTTCAAAAGGGCAGGGTTGTTTGTGTGATGGGTTGTTTGTGTAATACGCTATGGCCAAAAACAAAGACACAGTGGTGTTCACACAATGCATTTATCACTATTTGATAAGTGAAATGCTACCATAACATTCTAAACCTGGGTAGGGGGTTGGTGGGGTCAGAAAAGTCCCCAAATCCACCAAAGCACGGTCTCCAACCTCCATTTTACCTCAGTCTAGCAAGATGCGCAAAACCCAGCTGCTGGGTCCAGCTATGCGTTAGAATAAACCAAAATGCAGATTAAAAAAGATGAGACCATCTGGATTGCAACTAACAACTGACTGTTTCAAAATTCCAGACTAGCAGCCTGCAACCCTGAGTCTAAAAATCTTCCTTTCTACTTTTCCAGGATTTACGAGCTGCTCCAATTTGCCAGCTCTGGTGAGTTTTCAACTCCCCAACGTGTAACTGGGATTAAAATCATACATTCAATTAAAACGACCACTAGAAACAATCGGGAGTTGCGAGCCCTGTAACCCACTCCCAAGCCTCGTCGCTCCGCATCTGCTCCTTTCAAACGCGGGGAAACTGTCCGGCTTAGCAACTCCCAAGGTCGCAGCAAGGGACTCTAAACAGACGCTATTCCGAAACGCTCCCGGGCAGGTCCACGTGAAACGCAGGAGAGCCCGCTGTAGCGTACGATGCCGCTGGCAGGGGCAAGAACTACAGCTCCCAACGTGCACTTGACGAAGCGTCCGGGGCTATGCTGCGCGACAAGCAGAGACACGTCCGCGCCTTGCTTCTCAGAGTCGCCTACATTTCCCAGCATGCACCGCCCCGTGCTCTTGGGCAAGATGGCCTTGCCTCAAAGGCGACCGGGAGTTGCAGTTTCTGCTGGAAGCTAATCGAGCTCTCAAAGGTCCGGGCTGGCAGGACGAGCGGGGCGGCGGCGCCCCACCGG